ACTGTGCATGACAGGGCTTTGTCACCCTCCACTGCCTGCCATTTACCTCGCACCCAGAACCAGGACTCCTTCCACCCCTTGATAGAGGAAGGAAGTCCCACCACAAAGGGTGCGTGAGCCCCCCAAGGCGTGAGGTAGTACCACCCCCTTAACTCCTTCCCAATTACCCGGGGCTGGAACAGGGTCATAAAGACATGAAGGGGCATGTCCTCCCCAAGTGAAACTTCCTTCCACAGGAAGTAAGAGCCGACCAGCTGGCTCCACCCATTTGGCAGAACCTGGGTCGGCGACAGCATAAATTTCCTAAGCACCGCCCTAAAGAAGGGGTGCAAAGGAAGACGCATACCTGCTTTGAACAGGTATTCACTCACGGCCACGCAGCCGGGCCTCTGATAGCATGCCCGCTCGTTTGGTTCAGGGACTAACATCTCTATGTTATGAGGCACACTGTACCTCTCCCTAAGCTCCCCGAACCTCTTCCCCGTCATATTTGAGGGCACTCTAGAAGCCCTCCACTCCTGGGTATAATCCACGTCCTCCTCGGCCATGGCATACCTATCCACCTCGGACGTCCCCCCATGACCTACCCCGTGGTCTAAAGACGCTACAGTGACAAGTTCCCTACCCGAAGTGGACTCCATCGTTTGAGGACAAAGAATAACAACGGTTTTTTATGCAAAAAATACCTAAAAAAGTTCAACACAAACGGAGACCGGTCGGAATCTAATCGCAGACAACCTCAACGCCGGAAAATAGGAGATTTGAGAGAGTTTAAGAATGCAAAGTGTTTAAAATTTCTGGAAAGTAGAATTTTTTCGCCTTTTATAAAGATCCAAGGTAAACCCCACCCGTCAGATCAAATCTCAGTCAATCCGAGCCCTCCGTTCCAGATCCAATCCGAGGCGTTGAATTCAAACAGTCTTTGAAATCCTACGCCTCCTATCTATGCGTACCTCACACGCACCTCTCCGGCGCGTCTGCTTCTCGAAACGACGGCTGCCCTCATAATTGCATCTTTAATTCGTCGGCGCCAGCTCATTGGAAGTCGTAACGGTTCAGCTACCTTTCATCGAAAACAAGCAAAAAACATCAAATCATTGGCACAGAGACCAAAACATAATCATTACATTGGACCTCGGCTCCTCATATGCCATTCAGCATTTAAGCCTTGCAGGTTCGGTTTCACACCACCTCGGCTTCTTCACGTGCCATTCAGCATTTAAGCCTCGCAGGTTCGGTTACACACCACCTCGGCTCCTCATACGCCATTCAGCATTTAAGCCTCGCAGGTTCGGTTTCACACCACCTCGGCTTCCTCACGTGGCGTTCATCATTTAAGCCTCGCAGGTTCGGTTTCACACCACCTCGGCTCCTCATACGCCATTCATCATTTAAGCCTCGCAGGTTCGGTTTCACACCACCTCGGCTTCCTCATGTGGCGTTCATCATTTAAGCCTCGCAGGTTCGGTCCCCCCAACCACCTCGGTTCTTCAGCATAAACCTACACCAAAACTTCTCTAAACTCCAATCATGATATAATTATCTATACTTGAACTTGGTGGACTATTATTTGGGGGTTCAAAAAATTTTTTTACTCTAAAGTCCACGCATTATATTAATGATTATACTTGGACTTGGGGGACTATTGTTGCGTGTTGTCACACCTGTCCTACCCACCTGGGCCAGTGGCCCACTCATCCTGATCCACGTGGCTCTCTTTAAGATCCTGGAAAAAAGATGCAGAAATTCTTCACAGTAGACATATCATTTGGTTTCATTTGTCATCTTGATTTTTCAAGCTAAGTTTCGAAACATGGACTGCATAACCAACCAAACCATCTTGAGTCAATAATGGATATTGCGCTATGATTTCAATAATTTTTTTAAGAAAAGTTAACACTATAACAAACTATTAATTATGTTCAAGCATGGTATTTAAATGTATAAGATGCATTTTGCCTTTCCTAAACACTTAGGCCGTGTAGGAGCGTGTTGACCTTTCTTCATCTGGGTTCTAGGCTATTCGAGTTTAGGTCGTAACCATAAACAATGCTTGAAAATTGATAGAGACTTGCATATTTTACAGTTGAATTTGAATGATATTATCAAGTTGAATCATATTGGAGCTTGGAGTCTCAGCCACGTTGATTGATATGCATTGTATTTTGTATACTTTGATATCTTAAAATTGTCTACACGTGTGGGTCAATATCTTAAAATTGTCGGGGTCAACAGCTCGTTCAACTTCCATCTTGATTTTTGGACAAGCTTTGGACCAAATGAGTTCACGCACGACTACCATTATTTATGGAATCATAATAATTTAAGCAACCTAGTTAGCTCATTTATCGCAACTTGTTTCCTTCTTTTCCAATTTTCCCCTTCGGAAAGGCTTCATTTAAGAAACAAGAGTACTTGTAAACTTATTGCATACCCGTATCCATTACGTATCCATGTTTGGATACACTTGGACACTTTCCTCTATGTATCAGATACGTGTTTTTAATTATTTTTTATATATTTAAATTTTTGATAGGTATCCAACACCTTTGGACACATGAAAAAGAAGAGTTTTACTGGTTTTATATACACACACACACACGTATTCGAATTAGGTATCCTAATTCATGCTTCTTAGGGCATTATTTATTTTTTGGACTTGTTATTTGGTGGGATGGGGATTGCCAAATTGCCAGTGCTCTCTTTACAACTCTACCCATTTTTTAAATTTGAGTTATTCATACATACAAAAAGTGGGTTTTCCAAAATCTTTCTCAAATTATAGGCTGGAGCATATGGAAGATCTATAGATATGACTGTCCTGTCACTACTTCAACACATTTAAGTTGACAGTACTATAAATTCAAAGATTTCGAATGACTTAATAATTTCTCTTTCCTGCAATAGCTCATCTTTTTGATTGTTGTTATTTTCACTATGCTTTGTCACACTTCATAGGTGCTCAAATCTTTTAGTATTATGTTGATTATGGATGTCATGTAACATGGTTGTGGCTTTCTATAGCAGTCACACCATTTTTTCAGAACCTAATTCGATTTTTACATAAACTAACGCCAGTAAAATGTTTTGTACGTGTTTTTGACATGTAGGTGATTGTGGAGAAGGCAGAGAGAAGTGATATTCCAAAAATAGACAAGAAAAAGTAAGCCTGTACATTGTTGGATTTCCTCAACATTTTCTAAGATAATTCTTATGATATAGCATTTTTATTGGATTCTAGTCGTGGAGACCATGCTTTAGTGCTGCTTGGATATCATACACAAGTAGACGTATCATTATATAGTTTAAAGAGAAGACATTATTTATCTAGAGAAAATTTTAATAAAATGAAAGAGCATGAAAGGGTAGTGCTTCTTTGGAACTATTACAATATTATTGCAATCAGATTTTTTGTATGGTAAAGATCTAAGTTTAATACTAACATAGTGTGTGTAAAATATTGAGATATTGTCAACTTCAAGTTGGTTAACTGATGGTACTGAATTCTCAACTCTAGTTGGCAATTGAATGTGCTGAATTTTTATAGTACATAAATTTGGGTAAGGATCATTCCAACTAACATCTATTAAGTTATCCAATCTGTACGATTATAGTTTTCCAGTTCTACTATCTGCTGTAAATAATACTAAGCCCTTGTTTGAGCCCCATTTTGGGGGAAAGAATAAATTTTTGAATAGTGTATTAATGGGAAATGTCTGGTTAAAAAATAAGAAAATTTTTTTGATTTGCGTATAATATTATTTTATTGAAGAATGTGTGGTTGAAATGATATTAAAATACTGTTGAAAAATTCATTTTCCCCAAAGAATGGGGCTCAAACAAAGGCTAAGTTCCATAACCTCTGTAATCTTGCATGCACACAAGAAAATTCGATAATAATTGGACGCGGGCATCATCACTCTTGGAAACTTGTTTGAAAAATCTATACTTTTAAATCCAAGAAATTGCCATGTTATAGCTTGGGAACTAGTCAAATTCTCTTCTTTGTCACAAGTTCTTCAGTTTCATTATACAGTAAGACCTCTCTATAGTGATACTTTATACAAATAACCTCTATGTAGTCATATAAATATGGTCCCAACTTGGATCAATTATAAGAAAGAATAAACTCCACATTGTAATAAGTTATATTTTTTCTATGTCATGTCCTAAGGAACTTGCCTCCATGTAGTTATAATTATCTTTATATTGTGAAAAATTTATGCTATGTTACATTAAAGTTTTAAGATGAAATAAAATATTTATCTAAAAGTTATTTGGGATAATGATGTATTCTTTAGAGTTGTTACCACATCTTTAAAGAGAATCCGAAATTTTAGACTTTTAATGACCTGCATATTCCCGACACTATATAGATATATATACTAATATTTTGAAACTATGTATATTTATTAATTAATTGTTAATGTAGTACATACTTTCTCTCTATACCACTTGCACTAAGGAAAACTAAGTAAAAATAATAATTATTGTAACTTCAACTCTATTGAGTTGTAACCTTCTCAAAGTAATAAAATTAGTTTGGTCCCAATATTGTTACTATATAGAGGTTTTAGTGTCAATGGGAATCACCTCTTGAAATAATGGCCATGATGTCGGACTTGACAAAGGAATAAGAAAGAACAACTAACTGTATGAAAATTATTCTGTAACGGCACGTAATCTTCCAGCAGTAGCTGTCCCACTATGTTGTTCATATCAAATACTAGCATTTTTGGTTTTAATTTTTCAGATTCTGCTAATTTTGATCCTTAATTTGCAAAAGATGCATAATGGTATGCTATTAGTAGATTCCGAACTCCATTAATTCACAATCACAAAAACCAATTTACTCTCATTAGATGTTGCAAGTTGAGCTAATAAATGTATCATCATTTCCATCCATTTTTGTTGTTCAACAGACCTCGGTTCATTTGGTTTTTCTTTCCTTTCTTTTTGCCCATTTTCCTTTTCTATTTCTTATATGTATTTTGTTGTAGTGATGGCTGCGTGATGTTGAGTATATTCACTGAACAGCGAGAAGTCAGAGGGCCTGAGGGAATATTTGCAATCATTACAAGGAAATTTTTGGAACTTCATGATTATGCAGTAAACTTGACTAACTTGGGAGGGCATCACACCTGTGAATATCTTCACTTGTCTGCACATCACTCTACACATTTTTAAGTTGTTTGATTTGTGTTTTGTTTTGTTTTTGGGATTTTTTGTTTTGTTTTTTTTCCTCTCTTGTTTCTTTAGCTGTTAAATAGTAAGTTACATAAAAGGAACTGTACCCCCACCCTACCAATCCTCTGACATGTAGAAACATGTTATATTGTTTGGCTAACTTTCAATAAATTAGAAGTTGTAAAATTGTTTTCGTTACCTTATTGAAAAAATTACAGGTACCTCGTTCCAGCTGACTTGACTGTAGGGCAATTTGTTTATGTGATTCGCAAAAGGATCAAACTGAGTGCTGAGAAAGCAATTTTCATATTCGTAGACAATGTCCTGCCTCCAACAGGTGAGCTTTAATGCCATATGTTATTAGCTGTAGAGTCAGGTCATTTGGATCAAGAGAATTTGGAGTGAGTATGTTCACAATTTCTTGTTTCGGGCTGTTTGTCCTTTGCAGGTGCTGTAATGTCTGCCGTATATGATGAGAAGAAGGATGAAGATGGTTTCCTTTATGTAACCTACAGCGGAGAGAACACGTTTGGGAATCAGGTCATGCTGTAGCCTTCAAAACTCGGGTTTCACTTGGGTTATACAGTTTGGCAATAGTTGCTACCATCAGATTTGTGTCAATATCTTTATTCTGGTTCTTCTTTATGAAAATATTAAAGTTAAAATTATGTATAGCTTATACATGTATAGTTTCTGAGTTTCTTGAGATACCTATAAATGTCACTATCTCATGGTATGTTATTACAATAATCATTTGGATTCAACCTTGTTTTCAAATGTGCTTTTCATTCTCTAATAATCAAGCGGAATAATACGAATGGTGATGCTCATTTGGTTTCATCTGGTCTATATTTAACCATGTACCTTTATGTGATAACCCATCTCAATGTTAGTGACCCTGTCTCCTGTATTTTTTGTCGTAATTAAATCTGAGTTGGGCATTATTGAGCATCTGGAGGAAGCGGTTTCGTGCAAAATTAGTAAAATGAACTCTCTTGCTAATGTGGTTTGTTATTGAAGGATTTGCATGGTATAGTTTAAGACACACATAGCCGATATAACTGTTTTAATGCTTTCATTGATTCTTGTTATCTTGTACCATCTCCTTCATCATGTTTTTAATTAGTGTATATGGTGCCTCAGGGTGATGGAATTAATGTCTAAAAATTATAGCCATAAGGTTTGAGTAGAATGGTTTTGAGCCTCTTGGATAATGTTTTGCAATGAATTTGAGTAGGCCTTGGTCGTGATTGACTTAAAAGTCTCACCTATGAGATCTCATGTCCTTTCAAGGCCACTGAGGTGAGTAGCTGGTTGTAAACTTCAGGGCCTCATGAGATTAGTCGAGGTGCGCGTAAGTTGACCCGGACACCCATGGTAAAAAAAAAAAAAAAAAAAAAAAAAAAAAAAAAAAAAAAAAAGAAAAAAGAAAAAAAAGATCCCTCATGTAAAAAATTGTACACTTTCATAAATGGGTAATAACGAGATTTGAATCCAAAACTTTTATATGCTTTAGTTCCATGTTGAATTACTATGTCTAAAAGCTATATCAAACACTGCCTTGTGTAGCTTTAGGCGCAAAGGGTTTGTTATGGACATGAATAAAATGGAGTTTAGAGTGCAGTAAAGAAATGGAGTTGTGAATGGAATGGAGTGGGGTAGAACGAGGATCTCATATTTGGTACATCTTGGAATGACAAAAAATACGGAATGGAATTAATATGGTGACAAAAGAAAAATATGGAGTAATGCTATTCAGAACCAGTTTAGGTCGCAGTGGATGTTCATCTTTAATGAGTAATGATTCAGCCCCAGTGGCAGTCAGCATTACTGCATTAGTCTAGGTGGCTGCACATGTATCCACATCCTACATGGAAAATTATATTTTTGAAGCTAAAAAATACTGTGCCTTCTCTCGAAATAATGAAATCCTTTTGACTTCCCAATGCCATTAATAACAAACGGTTGTATAGTGGGTTCAGAATCAAATCCCCTTTATTCTTCTTCTTAATCACCAGAAATGGTCACAATATCCTTTCTTCATTCTCTGCTTGCATAAATTGTTAGTTCCATTCTGAGTCAAATCCTTCCATCTGTATTAAGTCTGTGTCATAATATTTCATCTTTTTCAATTTTTTTCTGTATTGACACGGAAAGATGACTCCTCACATTTGGTAGTTTGTTCCTTGAATAATTCCGTTTAGGCGGGAAGAACTCACTTGAGGAACTTCTGAAAATGGTTGGTTCTTGGTATCTAATTAGGAACTTCAGAAAATGGTTCCCGTTTTCAGATGTAAAATTTTGTTCCTTAATCTTCCCTACTTGGGAAGCTTTTTCCAGTACCTCGGTATAATTTGAACCATTTTCTGCTGATTTTAGCCTTAAATTGATTTATATATCAGTCAATAGTTGGCTCCAAAGTATGACTTCTTGAGTAGCAGATATTGAGTGAATCTTGGAGGTTGTCTATTCAGAGGGATGCTAGTTTGGAATCTCAGGGGAGCTATAACTGAAGAAAATCCAGAAATCGGTTCATAGTTTATGGGACATGAAAACGGAGAATGTTTTGACTGAATTAGCGAGTTAATATAGGATAGGTGTCTAGTATCCTCAAACGAGATTGCAAGCTTGTGTGAGTTTGATCCTTTTCTATGTGTTATCTTCAAGATGCCGGGACCAAGACTAAATTGATGCTACTTGAGCTTAGTGATCGCGATCTTGGTCGAGTTGGAGATTAAGCACCTTTTTCTATATAACTAGTTTAATTTCCTCTACAAAAGATAGCAATTGATTCAAATAATCTCCATTCTTACAAGTTTACAAATATATCTTCCAGCATTGAGACTATCCCTCGTTAAAACAATGTTGTTTCACTCTACTGAAGGCTAACAGGTAAGGATTTACGGATTTGAATAGACATAAGCAAGTACTTTTCTAAAATTACTATACGCAACAAGTAATTAAAACTGATTAAGGGTTTATTTGACATGACTTTTGAAAAGGTAAAAGGAGTTTTTGAGAATCAAAAGTTACTTTTAGATCCGTTTGGCTAATTTTATGAAAGTGCTTCTATTATTTAAAAAGCTTTTAAAGGAAGTTAGTTTAACATGAATTTCTCTAAAAGTGCTTCTGAAATAAGAAATACTTTTAAAAAATTAGTTTTCAAAATAAAAAATATAAAATATAAAATAAAATTACTTTTTTCAATAGCTCTTTTATAAAAAGCAAAAACAAAAGTAATAATAATGCCAAACAAGTTCTAAGAATCAAGTGGCAAGAGTGTTGGGTGGTATTGAGCCTCTCTCGCTTCAAAAGCTATCTCAAGAGGTGAGACTTTCACCCACACTTATAAACAGAATATCAACCTCATCCACAGACATGTGAGACAACCTCGACATTACTCATCTTTAATTGTCTAATGAATCAAAGTGCACTCAATTTTATTGGACAATTAAATGTCGATTCCTCTATTATCTAAACCGGTGATCGATAGTATTACTTATCAAACTGGTCAATGTGGGTTGAACGCAGTATTTAGGCTGGATGTAGGAGTGTTGCGTGGTTACATGGTGACGTAAGGTATTGTGATACAATATATAATGACCAAAGTTAGTACATTACATTTTATTTCCCAAGTCAATTCTTCGAGATTGGCCCCAACTAATGTATACTAAATGCAGAGAGAGGATGGAATTTGAATAATTCAAAATTTTAAGACTTTCAAAACAAATAAAAAAATTACAAAATAAAGACCAATTCAATTATTAATCAAGTTCAAGACTTTGAAACAACAATAAAGAACATGTAATCTAATCTTTTTCCACAGGCCTTACGAGGATGTTAGGGCATCTCCAAACATTGCACCATTTTTTGGTGTAAAGTTGCTTCAATGCAACACCAAAATTTGCACCATTTTGATGCAAAGTGTAAAATATATCTTTTGTCCTTATTTAACATTTCCCAAATAAATTTGTTAACGGTATTTATATGATTTGTGCTATATATTTTTTAATACAATAAATTATTATTATTATTTTTATTAATATCCTTATTTATCACTTCGAAATGCATTAATTGATCATTTGTGGGATGAACATATGAATTCTGAGAATTAAATTGCAAAAAATTATCGACTTCGTAATATCATCTATCCAAATTTGAAATGCATTGTGCTATTTTCTGATGGCATGATTTCATATTTTCGTTGTTGTAGTATTTTTATTAATTGTTCTATGTTTTTTTTATATTTATTAATGAATTCAATCTTTTCCGTAATTTAACGTAATTATTTATTTAGTAATTTATGTATTTATGAAATAATTAAATAAATAATATTTCAAATAAATAAATTATAAAGAATAAAAATGGGAAGAAAATGGTTAAATACTGTTCATTTGGTGTAATGATTGCAGATGAATTTTAATTTGGTGCAAAATGGTGCAGGATTGGAGATGGCCTTATAAGAACTCTTCAATCAACGTGATTTTTTCAAGGTCTAAGCTATTGTTACATGAAAGTAAGAGCTAATTATTAATAGTGAATGTCGAATTGGGATTTTCCAATCTTTGAGGGTCTGCTTGGGAGTATTATTTATTTATTTATTTTTTTCACTAGTTTTGATCGATTTTGGACGGTATCGTTTATGTGGGGTTGAAAATAACCGCTTTTTAATTTTTTGAACATCGATTTTGGATAGTTTAAAAATCACCTAAAATCGATGCAGTTTAATTTTGACCGGTCCTCTAATCTCACCATATCTATGGATTTTGACTTGTTTTATGTTATAATTTTACTCTTCATAAAATAATTATTTTTCAAACAACTTGTAAATAAAAATATACTCACCTAAAAAGTTATTTATATGTAAAACAATTACATTTTAATTAAAAAATTTACTTATAAGTAAAATATTACTTATAACACAAAATTAATTTTTGCTTATTTTTTTTAATAAAGTAGAAATATTACTATTAAAATAAAAATTCACTTATAAAATATAAAAAGTACTTATAAGTAAAAATTCACTTATGTATAAAAATTATTTGAAGGTACAAAAGTAACTTAAAATTGTAAAGTTTACTTATAAGTAAAATATTATCTTAAAATTTAAGTAACACTTAACTTTTTAAGTTAAATATTAACTTATATATTAAAAAATTATCTATAAGTAAAATATCACCAACTAGTAAAAAAATTTCATACAAGAAACTATAAACTAAAATTTTCATTAAAGGATATAAATGTAATTTTATTCTTTTAATTTTTTTTAGAATTATTGGATAATAAACTCTCAATCATGGACTGGACTATTTTAAAATTGCGTGCTACTAAAACAACTCAAAATTGGTATGCTAATAAACGTCCAAAATTGTACTTTAAAACACGCTCATACCGATACCCCCAAAACTCTTAGACACGCCAAAAGGAACCAAGATTTACAATAATTGAATTGGGGGCATCTTTAAGTCATGCCCATCTATAGGATGGTAAAAAAGAATGAGTTCTGATTAATGTAATGCGAAGCAATACATAATAAACGAAAATGCTTTAAAAATTTCTATGATTTCAAACGAAAATTGAAACACGATGATCTTTTAGTTTCAATGATTTATCATAATACTAGAAATCCAGACATCAAAAATTCTTTGATTCTCATATGAATACAAAGAATTTGGATTTGATAATTTTAAATATCAAATATCGAGAATTTAAGAGATCGACGAACTCAAAACTTTAATTTATTTAGGGTTAATTGTAGTTATCA